AGCCATCAGAGCCTGGTTCGTGAATTAACGGTACTGAGCGGTCCACTTCCCCTTGCTATTCCATAAACGAGTCGCCGAGCATACTCACTGCTCACACTTTGTTCCCACCGGATATGAGCCTTAATGCGAAGGCACCGGTGATGAAGAGCAACTAGGCTCATCCCAACACTGACACCCAAAGACCGCGGTTTCGTCCTACTTGGGACTCATCAGTTGGCGATAGCCTGAGTTGGGCTGGAACTCAGAGCGTAGTGGCTCATTGTTGACGCCATAAGCACCATGCCACTGAGATCCGCGAGCAACGTTTGGTCCAGCGGAAACGAATGCAAACTTGGACTTGGAGAATCCTCTGGTGGTTGGGTTGCTACAAGCAACCTCTATTGAGACCTCGGTTCACTTGAGGTGCACCTCGGTCATTCCGGATTCTCCAAGTCCAACTTCGAAACTAGCCTCCTAACCTCTACTGATCTAATAATTCATGTTTCACAACCGTACAGTAGAGTCGAACATACGGCTGCATTCTACGCTCTACTCTTCAGCTGGAGAGTGATGTTGCTGTACGATCCCTGACCTCTTCGATTCCACGGGCGTGGATTCATCTGCCTAGGCAGTTGAATTTTTGAATGACTTCTAGCTGATCCCCACCGAAGATCAGCATAGGAGGCGATCCCTGACAGTCTTAGAGGAAAGCTTTGCACTTCGAAGGTGCAAAGCAAAACCCGAAACAACATTCAGCCAGTGCCACTTAGCACGTTTGTGAGCTGTCATAGCTTACTGAATTGCCATTAGCATATACTCCAAGTCATGAAGTCGTTCACCTGAAAGCACCTCCATACCTTCTAAGTCATGTCCAGTGAAAGTGATTACCATAACTTCGTCAGTTAAATAGACGACATGAGAACGGGCATCTGTCTTACACCGCTGAAGATACTGTAGGATAGCGACAGCTTGCTGTAGGCCGGAATGTGTCGGCGAGCATCGATAAGTTCAAGAGACTGCGAAGGGACCCAATGTCCATGTTGGCTATAAGACTTACCACATGAGGATGTGCCTGCTTCTACTAAGGACTGGTGAAGATGAGACCGGTGAGCGCTTACTTTACTCACATGTCAGCGTACTTTGATAGGTATACAGAACAGCTGGTTTCGCCAGTTGGCTGGTGTCAATGCGCTCACAATGACCTCTCGGGCGTCCGCTAAAAATATCCGCAGGTCAGTACATACAAGTGCATGGTCGGTGTCCACACATGTGTTCCAAATCGAGCGACAGTTCTGAACGCAGCCTCTCCATCGGTAACTTTTCGCAATGTGATTGATTTGCGTCCATAGCTGGTTCGAGGCTGGTGGGCGCCAAGTCACCCTCCGGCTAGTGCTGTGTCGGAAATTAGTGCTCACAAGAAATTAGCGAGCACAAATGAAGTAACTGTTCACCGTTATCATTAAGGGAGCCTATACCATGTTGACCACCGAAATGCAGCTCATCAGTGGACAATTTCCCAACTTGAGTCTTCAAATCCTCAGCCAGCACTACAGTGTCCGAGATTTCTGTGGCGAAGGAGCTGGTTCAGTTGACGATAGAAAGCGTCTTCTACTGAATCATCGCTACGGTTTGTTGGCGCGTAGGCAACTATAGCACCAGATATCTACTAGTCCCGCGCCACTTCGGAGTTTTGAACGATCCAGTCAATCGGACCGCACACATCTGGCTAGCCATTGGGATCCAGTGAACCAAGCAGCTTCAGTCCGGGGACGTAGGGCAATACTAACACCGGCTTGGCCGGTACTCGAAGCTACGTCCTCTCCGGATAGATGCAGTGAGGAAGCAGTGCTGGTGTCACCTGAAGGGGATCACCGAGTGTGCACAGGGCTGTAGTCTTACGGGTGAGTTTGTGATAAGCAGCGTATTTCGATCTAAAGGGTTCCTAATGTTCGGGTAAGTGTTTTTTGTTGACCGATTTGTAACAGTATGCGTACCTTTTGACACGCCAATTCGGAGGAGGATCGAGGGCTCCAAATAAAAGCCGGTGAACATAGACTTGTCGACAAAGCAAGAGTGATGCCTTACGTTCCCGTGAGTTGAAACTAGAAGATAAATACCTATCAAGGCATGGTGAAGGAAAGGCAATTATTGAGAGGTTGAAAGCAGGGGGATAAAAGCGAAGTTGGAACGGAACGAAAAGCTGAAAAAGCCTGAAAGAGGGAAAATGAAGACGAGAGGGCTTCCTAGTAGCATCCGAATCGCTATGCACCCCGCTCGATGCATCTGATAAAGTGCCGTTGATTATTTTATGCGACGGCTAGAGCATCAATAAATCGTAAGAAAAGAAACCCATTGTACTGTGTGGTCATGATACTGTCAAGATGCCATGCTGACAGATGAACGATTAGGGTTTTCAACTAAAATCTTTGGTTCAAAACCCTGATCTCAAGGCAGCTGCGTTTCGGTACTGGGCTACAGATAGTCCGTTTAGTAGAGTGGGCAGCCACCTTCACTCTTCTCCCATCTGGAGGACCAGGAGTTTGAGTTTGTCTAGCCTCTTATCTTTTACCTTTGACTTTGAAGGTGCAAGATCACCATCATTCATTCATTCATTATACACGTCAGCTAGAGGTGGAAAACACCTCAGCTACTGTGCCGCAATACATAAAGGAAAATGAAAATAAATACAAAAGTTGCGTGCCAGCTGAGCTACCAGCAACGGCTAGGCATCGTTCCGGTAAGCTACCAGCTGGCTACTAGGCAAAAAGAAAAAAATTATTGTGTTTACGCTAAGAAATGAGATCGTAGTTGGAGGGGTAGGCTAAAAGGGATGGGGGGGGGCAAAGAAACTCACAGCAGGAACGCCACTGAGGTCGGCTCCTTGCCATGTCAGCAAGTGTATCCAGCCAAACGTGTTCACCGTCTTTTGGACCCCAACCAGGGAGCCGTGACACTCAAACCGAGGCCAGCACAGAAGTGAGGGACTTCATTCCTTTGGACCAAGTCATCGCTTGGCCGCCCCTCCTCTTCTTCCATCCACATCTCCGGTGAGCAAACAACGCACGTCGTGGTAGTCAATGGGCTGGCATGCGCAATACGTGGCCGAGCCATCGGAGCCTGGTACATGAAATGACGGTGCTGAGCGGTTTAGTTCCTTTTCCTGGGCCGTAAACAAGGCGTCGAACACGCTCGTTACTCACGCGGTGTTCCCACGAGATGTGAGCTAAACTGCGAAGGCACCGATGGTCGAACGTAACTAGCCTCTTCATGTCCGCTGATCTTAGGGGCCAGGTTTCGCAACCGTACAGTAAGGTCGAACGTACCGGCTCAATGGATCACTGGGGACCATTGTAATACTCGTACAATTTTCGGTTACACTGTATAACATGATCAGCCCGCTAAATCGCTCTATATTTCGCAGGCCTGACTAATTCACCAATTGTTTGTTTGTTTATTTATTTTTTATTTCGGTGCAATCTTTTGGAGTACTCAGTTCGAAGAATACCTTTGGTGCTATATTTAGATCACTAACTGTCAGCTTAAGCCTACGTCTTCTCGCTCTCGATGCTGCCTCCACTTTAGGGCACTCATTTGAGTAGAAACTAGGTTTGTCTTCTAGCTGAGGTCACATGCTTGAGCTTACACTCGAACTGAAATCTTATCGAGGATGGTCGTTATTGCGCTTTGATTGACCGCGTAGCCTTGAAGCACGTGATATCTTGGCCATCTTAGCTAGTGGCTGCAACTTAACACTTGCGGACTACTCCGTGGCCATCAGTCAACTTCCTCAACTCATCATTCATTCTTTCATCCGCGGGACAAGGGAGTCGGTCATTTGTGTGATCGAGCTCGCTTGCTCAAATCACTGGCTGGGACACCTTAATCAATTCAACACGTCAGCAGGCGCAGACTGGGGCTTAGATCGCAGTTACTGCATACAAGTTTGGATTCTAACAACCTAGCGCACTGGAGCCTTCCGAACTTGTGAAGATTGATAATGGAAACCTTTTAATACGCTAACTTTTGTTCCGCACCTCAAATACACCTGCTAAACTATTCCCTCAGACTGCTTTTCAGGTGCTATGGCTCACCGGATTGCACTTTTGATCGAGGATCATTTTTTCTTGCTTCTTTTAACAACGGAGTCCTCTGACTCAGTGATTGTGTTCTTCGCTGAATTATCCATCACCCAAACGTTTTCCTTTTTCCTGTTATCTAGCTCTTTCACTCCTCTAATCGCGTCATTCTATTTTTTAGTGCAGAGATCGAATCGGCTTCACTAGCCTATTACTCAGCAGTTACGCTTACACTCCATCGCACTGCCCTTTTACTGTATCCAATAGTAGCAAGAATGCCGGTCTGAAAACGAGTCACAGAGTGCGCATACAATGCACGTCCAAACTAGTGAGACGATATGGACACGCGATTAGGAGCAACACGCAAAGCGAAAAATCAGTACGTGCGTTGAACTGCAGTTCAGCGCTAAGTGTGTCGACAACGGTGTACGCAAACAAGGAGTCTTTAACTCGCTTTTTCATCGACTGTTCTGTACACGAAGACCTGCGAAGACATGCAAAACGAACATTAAGAACAGAGGTTAATTTAAGCGATCCAGTTCGGTTTTTAGCTTGTTACGTTAAACCTTGCGCTGTTGTGAGGACTGAATGAAAACGCGGCTGATGATCTAATTGGTACAATCACTTTCTACCAGCAACCGGCCAATAATTCATGTCTCTACAACCATTTGCTCGTGGTTATAGTACCATTTCTAGGTACGTGATACAATCACGGAACATTCCGTTTCACTGAATGACGTTCCCACTTGAAATACATGGCAGTAACACGCTTCAGCTTCCCTCATGTGCCAACATATTCTATTGCTGTTTCCTGCCTCCATAGCATACCATTGGTCTCTTTACGTATTGATGCATACCACTTTTTGAAGATGCTCCTATCTTCGAGATAAGGCCTGATCGTCTACTCTTTCTCTTCTTCACACACACACACACACACACACACAGTACGATCTGCACTTTCTCAAGAAGATTCCACCGGGTTCGGAGACCTCGAACATCCTCATTGGTGAAACTAGTTTCCTCACCTCACATGTCACTGTGTTCATTCGGCTGCGAGAGGCCGTACTTCTCGGGGACCTAACTGAAGTCCCCGTCCCGACACGTTTTCTTTTCATCCATCTGGGTGTGATGGGCAGTATGGCAAAGTCTCACGAAATCGGTCGCTCCATGGGCGTTCTGATGTCCGACGAAGTAAGTCCCCTTTGTTGCCCGATTATGTTCTCTTGTGTTAATACCTGGTGCTGATAACTCGAATGTCGTTGGTTGTTCCCATGAAATATGTGAACGTTTTACGTGCCCTGCACTCGAACACCACAGGCCGCGTCAGTGTCTACGGTGATTTGTCAGATACTCTTCCGACTAACAATGGTGTTTGGCAGTTGTCCAATTTCCCCAATTTTGTTTAGCTACGCCCTGGACTCTATCATGGGGTGTTTTCTTGCGCAACATCACGATGCAGCAGTTGAGGTGCTGCTTGGTGAAATGCTAGTTGATCTTCATTACGCGGACGATATTGTCTTGCTTTCTCACGATTTTGGGGCGGCCCAGTCAACCTTATATAACCTCTCAAGCGTGGTCCCATTATTCGGCATGCGAATCACACCTTCAATGTGCAGTGTTGTTACAGAACCACCAACCACCTGATGTCCCTTTGATCTGGCTATAGAATTGAAGACTGATAGCTCCGGTTGCTTGGATGCGCCCTTCCTTTGTCCTCTGGTAGGATTACAATGTTCTCGTCTTTCTGTGGATGTCTAAGTGCATCATGTTCCTTCTTGGGTAGGGCCTGGGTGACTTTATTCCGAGTTAGCACTGGGACAAATGTCTGCCGTATCTGTTGCTGCGATTCTTGCGACAGTCCATTTGATTTCAGTGCGTGTTCACGCGTGAACACGCGTAGATATCAGTGATATTGGACAAACCAGAGTATAGTAACAAGGCCAAAGAACTGCTATCCGACACAACTACATATCGCCAAATCGATCAAGACCCAAGTTCAAAACTGGTCACCCAGATCAACGCAACGCTGAGGAAACCACAAACAAAGAACGAGCTCACCGCGACGGAGAGATGAAGAATGGAATCTGATGATACAAATATTGTACTGTTTTATGGATTCACAAAAGTACACAAGGATGGAGTCCCACTACGACCAATCGTCTCGCTCCCCGGAACCTCATCGGATAAACTGGCGAAGGATTTGTGGAGCAGGTTGGAACATTTGATTGCTGGATCCGAACATAGCATCAACAATGCTGAACAATTCCTCCACAAACTGCGGAGTGTTAGAATAGAAGATGACGAAATAATGCTTTCACTCGATGTCACCGCGCTCTTCACTTCAATCGGTCACGAATTAGCCAAAGAAACCATAATGGACCTACTTGAGAATCAACTAAGGTCAACAACAACCACACGATCCGAAGTCTTTTGGGAACTCCTGAGCCTCTGCGTGGCCACTTATCTCCGCTTTTGATGGACAAGTATACCAGCAACTGAGAGGAACTCCCATTGGATCCCCAATTTCGGGGCTCATTGCAGAAGCCGTAATGCAGAAATTGGAGCGCATCGCACTGCCATTTATCAGCCCAAAACTCTGGATACGACACGTGGACGACACATTTGTCATCGTAAAACGGAACAGAGTACAAGCCACGCACGCGTTGCTCAACAACACGTTCGAGGATATGAAATTTACGATTGAATTAGAGAAGGATAACAAGTTGCCATTTTTGGGTGTACTGGTCACTATGAATCCCGATGGATCTCTGCAAACGTGCGTATATCGGAAGAGAACCCATACGGACCAGATATAAAACTACCACAGCAACCATCCGATGAGTCACAAGAAGAGCTACATTCAAACCCTATACAAAAGAGCGGCAACACACTGCAGCACAGCCGAACTGCGGAAACAGGAAGAAAGAAGAAGAAGGAAGAAGCAGTGTCCAGAAACAATGGTTATCCGAGAAATTTTATCAGAAGAAGCCTAAAGAAACGAACATCTCATCAACAGCAGCAGCAGTCACCTGAGCAAGCAAACAAACGAATAGTGCTCCTCTACATCAAGAATGTTTCCGAACTAACAGGAAGATTGCTGCAGTCACATGGGATCTCTGTGGCTCACAAACCAAGTGCCACCCGAAGGAAATTGATCTCAAGACCCAAAGAAAAAGTCAATCAAGCCGACCAATGCAATGTCATCTGTCAGCTAAAATGCAGCGACTGCGGTAAAAATTACGTCGGACAAACTGGAAGGAAGCTTTGTACACGAATCACCGGACACAAGGCGGTCGTCAGAAGACATGATCCGCACTCATTGGTTTCTGCGCACGACGATCAAGAAAGCCACCATTTCGAACTGGAGAATGTTAAGATGCTAGCATATGGAAGTACAAAACACGCCAGGGAGTTTTTGGAAGCCTGGTACTATACAACGAATTCAAACAATCGACACGTCGAACTGGACGCAGTATACGCAACATTACTGGCGAAAGACCGCCAGCTCAATCGATTGAATCCGGTGGAACGTGTGGCTAGCCAACCAGAACTGATAACAGTTTCGCTCACAAGCGCAAGCGGACAAAGGCCACGAAACACAAGAAGTCAAGTTCAAAGGTCATCTGCCCATCAACCAGGCTGAAGGCGGATCGAAATCCCAATCAATAGGATTACTCACCTCCACGGGCAACCACAGCGGTATAAAAACGCACGCACACCACGCTCAGCGCACTCTCACTGAGGCTCCTCTACGCTATTCTACGCTACGGCACGCCACTCAACTAAGCACTGATGATATCACCTCGATTGTTGACGAAACGTTTGCAACCAAATTGCCAAACTCAGCGAACAGTTCAACTGCCGTCCCTTTGATAACGAGGAACTCGAAGTGGTTACACATTTCACCTACCTTGGGAACTGTATTATCAGCAATGGGCGCGTAAACACTGAAGTCAGTTCACATATTGCGAATTCTGTAACTGTACCTGCAACATCTGTTACGACAGAAGGTAGTTTCCATCCGTCTTAAATGCTGTGTTTACACGGCTGCCGTTAGGGCGTCCTACTCTATGGGATGAAACTTGCCCCTTCGGTCTGAGGATTTGAGGCGCCTTGACCATCGCTCTCTACGGCGCATTGCTGGTGTCGGTTGGCACTAGCGGATCCGCACGTTGACCTGCATAGGCCGATGCTAAACAATGATACCAAAGTTAGTTTCTTAGCCCAACAGATATCATTGAGCTAGTTTCGTTGGCTTGGGCACCTTCTACGTATGTTGGTCGCCGCTAAACGTGGAGGGCCCTATTCTGTCCGCCGCAAGACTTGAGGTCGACAGAACTTGGCTTAGCAGCGTGAAATGAAGTCAGTGACGACCAAACTGGGCGCCGTCGGTCCGTGTCGCCTTCCGGACTGTAGTTCACATGACCCGCCCTGTGCTGTTTTCAGACGTTACGGGACATATCTTGCAGTCGGCACCAGTGGCGTGTCTGCTGCCGTTTCCTATTCGAGCTGCATGTTGAAAGTGTATTTGGTGCTGAGTTCTCTGCGGGTTGATGTCAGATTTTGAGGCGGGCCACAAGGAAGCTGTTTCGCCGTTGCCTCGCTATATTTGCGCGATATCCGGCTGTTTTTACCGTGTGTTGTTTACAACGTGTAGACGCTTGGATCCTGAATGTTTGCTTACGACTCTAAGGTTTTCCGGTAAGTCCCCCTTTCCCTCCTCTTATTGTTCTTTCTGTAGGTGGTTGTGGTTGTACCGCAGCGATACATCAATTTAGATGGCTCTTATACTGCCATCGATGGTAATGAATACCGCTGCTTGATTCGATCACTTAAGTCCCACTTAAACTTTGTCGAAATACTTGTTCTTCAGAGAGGATCGGCCTAATCAGCGATGACGAATCAGCGAGAATGACAGTATAAATGACCCGTTTTACACCCCGCTCACATTGCACTGACATTTCTGTGACGATTAAATTCCTTCGCTGACTTAGTTGAACAAATAACGGAGATTTAACACCGCTTGACCTACCGTCAAATAGACTGAGCATCTTAGAGGAAAGACCGTGTGTTCTCTGTCTTATCACAGAATCCCCTCTCCTTGCTTCTTTGCTTCATCACTCTGTTTCATCTGTTCACTCTTATTAGATACTGCTATCACATACCCATCCTGCAGGAGATAATGCCCAACGACAGTTCACATTTCCTGTCGTAAACGAATTTCTGCGCCGCTATCCGTTCACACACGCACACACAAACACACACAAAACGAGGGCTACAAAATGATCCATCCACTTACTCTCTAGCAGAAATTTGACTATCTGGGATCAAAGATGATGTCATTCATGGTTATTACTTTAATAGCTTTGCAACTGTCTCTGCTTTTCTGCTCTCTCATATCAAGGGCACGCATGCTTTTTTAAACATTTATCGCTACTGTAGCTTTCCCTGCTGTCAATTCTCGAGCAGAGACGATTTTCACCATACTATACACACCTGCGTCAGCTGCCTTCTTCGCTGCTTTTTGTTCAAACTGATTTATACCACGACTCAACATTTTTCCTGTCTGGTTTTCCAAAACCTTTGTTATTGCGTTTGTCACTGCGCTCTTGCTACATTATCACTCATTGGCACGTCTTACTCATCATCTGTTTCGTTGAGTTCAATCGGTCAGTCTGTTCCTTGTGCATAGCAGTAAAGATCACGTCCGACTGTTCAGCGAACAAGAATAGAAGCGCTGAGCGTTATACCAACTTTTGAGCAGGGCGGTTCGTTTATTTGTGGATACTTCGTCATCAATGGTGCTCGCAATGAAAATGCACGTGTGTTTAGGTTATCTTTAAATCTTTGCTTTCTGTTGAAGCTCGCTGTCTTTTACTGTCTATTTTTTGTCCCTTACTTTATGACCGCTCCTTCTACCAATCAATGCAAGCGCACCATTCTTTGCTTCCAGGAGATCGTGAAAGAATTTACTTACTGCGTTTCTCTAAGCCACAGATTAACTGCCCACCTCAAGGACCCTTTAAGCCGTCCTTATTTGGCACGTATGATACTATCAGTGAATAGTAGGGGAAATTTCGGTATTTTCGCTTACATTTGTCACTGCCAGACACAGTTGCACAACCACCACAATCCTGAAAAACACTAGAGAGCCGTCCTATTGGGACTCATCAGTAACGCTCATCTGCCTA